CCAGTACTGTCTTAGCTCTCTGTGCAAATCACTTTACCCATCAGTACCACACGCAGGCTTGGGGACCACTCTGGTAACCAGCTTCTCAAGATAAGAAAGACGCAGAGGAAAAGGCCTCACAAATGTTAACAGCAGTTGTAATGGAAATGGAATGGACCTTACAGTGGACAGGAAGTCTAAGGAAGGACACGTACTTTATATTTCACATACTTTGCATAATCTAAAACAAGTACTCACAGCTGGGGCGTGGTGATGCACACCTGTAATCCCAGCACCCTGGAGGCTGAGGGCTGAGGCAGGAGGATTGCCAAGAGTTGAAGACCAGCCTGGGCTACACACCTTTCAAGGCCAACCTGGACTACAGAGCAAGATTGTCCCAAAAACAAAACAAACAAAACAACAACAAAAAAGTATTCAGACATTACATGTCTAAATGCAAAATCAGTAACATTCCAGAATTTCACTAATCTGCATTTACTTTTAAAATATACTTACTATGGGCCTAGGGTATATACGGCGCACTCTTCTGAGCACAAGACACACAAGGTTGACCAGGTGTAGTGGTGCACGCCTGTAGTCCCAGCACTTGGGACTCTGAGGCAGGAGGATTGCCATGAGTTTGAGGTCACCCCCTAAAAAAAGACATACTACACTGATCAAAAAATATGGTGATTTAAAAAGACTCACTGCCTTTGATCCCTCTCAAAATATTCCTCTTGTCACTTCAAACATAGTTCTCCCAGGAGTCTCACCACTTTTGGAAGTCCCCGAGGGTCTTTTAAGTTGCACCATCATGGCTGCCTTGATGTCCTCAACTGATTCAAAACATTCATTTTTTCAGTCTTTTGGACTTTGGGGAAAGAGTCAAAGATCACACAGTGCCAGATCCAGTAAATCAGGAGGATGAGAATGCACCGTAACGTTTTTACCTGACAAAAATAGCTAAAATGATTTAGGACATGAAGGCAGACACAACAGTGCAACTAGTGACACTCATGAAAGAGGACTTCCAGAACCGCCTCAGAAGGTGGCAAGGACACTGGGACGAGTTGGGAAAGAGTATTTTGAGGAGGGTTAGTGGCACTGTGTCTTTACTGCAACACACTTTAGCTAAACACACACCATGATTTTTTGATCAGTCCTTGTAAAACAAGAACAGAACTCTACACTTTTAACATTTACATGCTATGGACACATTGCCTGTCTCAAATAAATAAGCAAATCATATGAATAAGGGTGTCAGGTACATAATGAGTGATAAAGATAAAGCAAGAAAGGGGGGCAAACAGGCTGCAACATGAGGAGCAGAGAAAGGGCGTCCTCTAAGTGGAGCGGGTGGCAAAGCTTCACTCAGAAGGTGGCCTCTAAGCAAAGCCAGAAGACAAGCAGGTGAGCCTTGTGGAGACCTGGAGGAGGAGGGTTGCGAGAAAAGGGCTCAGCAGGCGGGAAGGCTCCGGGCCCCTGCTTGGTGTGCATGCAGAAGGGCACAAGCACACAACGGCAGCACCTTAGGAAGCCTGTCTCCAGGGTCCATCGGCAGACACAGCAACCCGAACTCCGTGGACATGGGGCCTGGAACATAAACTCAGGAGGGCTTTGGACTCCAGAATGAGGGGACGGGAGACTCAAGGATGATGACCTCACTCCTCACCTGGACAAGCAGGTAGACAGCAGCACTACTCACTAAAAGGAACCCAGTTGGAAGGGAAGGCTGGTTAGCAGGGGTAGAACCTGCTGAGTTTGTGATCCCTGCTCAGGAAGCAAGTCTATCAGTCAACCGTAAAATATGGGAGACTGTCGCAGATTGAGCGTCACCAACACATAGTCTAATGCCACAGGAAAGACTGAGAGAAAGCACAGAGAGTGAGAAGGAGGAACAGAAAGGGCTCGGCTCTGGTTAAAACCAACATTAAGCAAGGAGTGGAGGAAGAACCTCATGAAAAGGAAAGAAGAGAGATAGAGAGATGGAGGGACAGAGGGACAGAGAGACAGACAGATAAGACGGGGAGGCGGGGCTCAGGATGAACCAGGGAGTCTGAGACAAAAGCACAATGTGTAATGCTCCAGCAAGTCACCAAAGGGTAATCTTATCCAAAGTGAAGAAGAAAAACATAAAAATGAAGTAAGCTAATAAGCCTCAGGAATGAAATTTTAAAAATAATAGACCATGAAAGTGTAAATACTATGGACAATACTATGGACTACAGATAAAAAATGAAATCAGAGATAAAGATGGAAAATATGAGGTGGCCTAGAAAGCTCGCGCAAAGTTTTCATCTTTTGTTTAAAAAAACACAGCAAGCTGAACCCCAGAGGATGAAGCTGTATGATACGGAACAGGTCATACCCCAGAGGAGTCAGAGGAAGAGTCCGTGTGAAGTGACTCTGAGCAAAGCTACTCAAGGTGTGCTGTCAGTACACCTCAGCCTAGGCCACACACACCCAAACACACTTATGGGGCTCAGAGTGAAGCCAGTTTTTAAAATAACACATCTTTAGGGCCAGGGATTTAGTGTAGTGGCACCGTGCTTGCCTTGCAAGCGTAAGGTCCTGAGTTTAATCCCCGGCACCAAAAAAATACATCTTTAGATGTATAAAGTATATGAATTTGTGTGAATACCATCTGTGTCATTCTTATTGTATAATACCAAGACATGTGCTACTGAACTACTCCAATTCCTTATTTGATTTTTAATTTTTTAATTTTTGTTTTTTTGAGACAGGGTTTCGCTATATAGTTCAAGCTGGTCTTGGACTCCCTATGTGTCCCAGGCTGGCCTTGAACTTGTGGTGATCCATTGGCCTCAGCCTCCCAAAGAGTGTTGGGATTACAAGCGTGTGCTACCACACCCAGTTTTACAATTCCTTATTTGAAGAGGTCTGTTATTTGTTTATGGATCTTCTATTATATTTTGCCAGGGTCAAATTTACATATCAACACAATTAAACGATAATACTTAGGATGAACAAGAAATTTCTGATTGTTTTCAACCAAGTAATAGGCTTTATTCACAGATGGAGGTAAGGCATGAAACAGAGATGCCCTACTACTTTACCAAACTGATTTCTTCTGTCCCATGAAGTTAGGTTTTTGGCGGATTAATAGCATTATTAAGACACATATGTTTCTCTCTTCGTTAAAAACATATAAATTTATTATTCAAATACACAACTCAGGAACATAATTATTGGTTTTTAAATTCTTTAAAAGAATGACAGCATCACAGAATGTAATACTTCCACTAAAATTAAGTGCAGTGTTCAATGAACATCAATGGGCTGTATTCCAGTGGCAACTCCCTTTCCTTTACTAAAAATTATTCACAGTATGGGCCATGGATTTAGCTTAGTGGTTTCACCGCCTGTTGTGCAAATGCAAGGACCCAAGTTCGAGTCCCGGTACCAAAAAAAAAAATTATTTACCGTATGTGAGGCGAAACCGAGGCATTAACTGGAGAGAAATCTGTATCACAAGAAAGCAAGCCAAAATTGTACAAGTTGCCCTTGCTCCCTACCAGGTTTTAAAACGTTTTTGGAGAGCGCACAACCCCTTTATTTCCATTTCCACAAAGAAGCTAAGCAAAATAAAAAGCCAAACAATATTACAGCTTAATACCAAATTCAAGTAGTGTTTATACTATTTAAATGAGCAAAACAGACAATATTGTTTCTCCATTCCGAAACTAGAAACAATATAGCCAAGCCAGCAGTAAGGTCCAAGTGAAAACAAATTTCACAGCCCTTAAAAAAATACAGAACTGTCACTGTTAATAAAAGCCAAATGTGCAAAAGGGGGAGGCACTGCTTCTCCGCCAAGGACAAGATGTGTCTAAATTCTGGGTTTGGGGACTTCCCTTAAATGACAACAAATCAAATAAATATTAGTTTTTGTAAATATAATGCAAATAGCATGCTAATTAAAGTATTTACAAGACAACGACAAATAAGGCTACAGGACCACAGGACGTGTTATTATGTAACTGCAATACACACGAAGCAACCGCGGGGTTGTCCTTAGCCCTCCAGAAGGAGTTATTATGGTTTCCGCGATCAGAGGTTTGCGGTGTTCTGTTTAATCACAGTTTTACCTGCAAGCAGGTGTCTACAGACGTTCAGGAGCGCTGATTCTAAACATAAACCTCCCGTTCTGCCCAGGAATCTTGCCGTGACACACACTCCCATGCTGTCTGCACTGCTGTCCCTTCCAACATGAAGGAAGCTGCACAAACCGAGTTTCTCTGAATGCTCCATGGGCCAAAATTTAACTTCTGATTCATTTCTATTAAATGCCCAAACTAACACACTTAGAACTAGACGCGCGTCAGAGACAAAAAAATTTAACACAGAACGCAAAAGAAACAGTGAGACAGTGAAGGCTGACTGGGGGAAATTATTGCAATTCGGCGTTTCAGTAAAAATCTAGGCGTCTCAAAAATAAAGTCTGAGGGATAATAATATTCACTAGCTTTACGAACTGCAGAAGCCACACTCAGCCAAGTGAACGCAATATACCCGTCACAGAAATAAATTCGGAATACGTGGAGAAAAGAGACAAGACAGGCAGCAGGGCTTGTGGGTGCCATACTCAACGGCTTTTCTACGACTCCCGCTCTGACTGCTCGAAACAAAATTCAAAAAGCCTGGGGTAAAATTTCCCGGGCCCTTTTCACGACATTAGGCCTGGGAGCCACGCAAGCCACCTGACTCCCGAGCGGTCGGCAGAACTTCAGAGCGGGAAAGGGAAGGCAGGCAGAGAGGAACGGTGAAGCGGGAGCTTCTTCGGGGAGCTAGACTCCTAATTGCCCTCTAAGGCCTTTCCAAGGCTGTGCCTGAACTGTCCCTGCGGAAAAGAAAATGTTCTCCTTTTCTTAAAAAAATAAATAGAAGGCAGATCGGTACCGAGAGCAGCCCGAACCCGGCCCCGCCGCGCCTCCGTGCCAGGTTCGCGTCCGGGCACCCCGAGGGCACGCCAGACCTTCATCGCCGCCCCTCCGGCTCACCTCGCGGGCTGGGGCCTCGAGCTGCTCAGCGTCTCCGGCAGGCGGGCCCGTCCGACGCGTGGCCATCATCTCATCCCAGGCTGCACACAGGGGGCCGGCCCTGCGGAGAACACATCGGGGTGGGCGCCGCCGCCGCCGCGCACCGCTCCTCGCCAGGAACACGCTCGGGCGTCGCTGGGGCTCTGTGCGGGAGGTCTTCCCTCGGACGCGCGCCTCAGCTGCCTTCGCCCTGCTCCATTTCCAGGGGCTTCACACACAAAGGCGGCGGGTCCCGGCCAGCTGGCGGCAGCCCACGGCGGAGCCGGCCCTCCACGCGGCGACTCCGGGCCGGGCACACTCCGAGTGGCCGCTCCGGCTGCGGCTCCCGCGGGGCCGTCCTGGAAGGGAGAAGCCACAGGGCGTGAGCCTCCGACGCCGGCCTCCGCGCGCCCAGTCCGGGCGGCGCTAGCGGAGGAAGGGAGAGCCGCGAGTCGGGGCGGCCCGGCGGCGTCCCCGCGGGGCGCGCACTCTCGGCGGCGTCTCCGGGCGGGCGCCCTCTGCCCCCCGCGCCGCGCCGCGCCGGAGCCCGCGCCCGTCCGCCTCCCCGGAAACGCTCGGCGCCCGGGGCCGGCCGGGCGGGCGGGGACGCGGGCGGGGCGCGGCCAGGACGATTCTGAGCCCCGCGGCCGCAGCCTCCATCCCGTGGCCGCGCCCCGCCCGCCGCTCCACGCTGCGTCCCGGGCGGCGGGCTCAGGGAGCCGAAGCGGGGAGGAGGACGGAAAGCCGCCCACCGCCACCCACCCACCTACCGCGCTTCCTCCGCCCCTTCCTGAGGCGGGTCGGGGCCGGCGCCCGGGAAGGTGCGAGGCCGCTCCGGCCGCCCGCGCCCTCCCTCCCGCCCGCCCGCCCGGCGGCAGCGGGACCCGGCCGGGCCGCCCGCGGGACGCTAGGCCGCAGGCGCGGTGAATATGCATGAGGCCGGCGCCCCTCCTCCCCGCGGCTGGCCGAGCCCGCGCCGCCGCCGGCCTTTGTGCCGCGCCCTCCGCACACGCGGCGCGGCCCGGAGCGAGGGCGGAGGGCGGAGGGAGAGGACGGGCACGCACCGGACCGCCCGACTCTGCCCGCCGAGACGGGGACGGACGCCCGGCCGCCGCGCGCTGCTTCCCGGGCGGGCGCGCCTTCCTCCCGGCCGCCTCCACCCACGCCCCCGGGAGGCTGCGGGCCAGACGCCGCGCGCCCTCCCGCCGCCCCGGTCCGGTCCGGTCGCCGGGGTCGCACTCGGCCGGGAGGGCCGGGCCGGCGCGAGGGAGGCGGGGCACTGGGGTTGAGCGGCCGCCGGCCGGGTCCCGCCCGCGGGCCGCGGCGGCTCCAGATAAGGGGTCCTCCCGCCCGAGGGCGAGCGGGGCTGGCGGGAGCGGGGTTCACTCAGGTCTTTGGTATTTTTCAGTCTGCGGAGCCGCCGAGCGCCATGGGCGCGGCCCGGGACTGAGGGGCGCCGGCCCGCTTCTCACAGCGCGCGGCCCCGCGGCTCAGGCACGGACGCCGCCCGGCCCACCTGGCTCCCCGCCTGCCCTCAGACCCCGGCCCCTGGCTCCGCCCCGCCGCGCCGCACAACGTCTCCCGCTGCAAATTCCCCAATCGGGAGCCGCGGTGAGCGAACGCGAGCCAATCAGGGGCTGCTGACTCAGGCTTCGCCCCGCCCTTCTCCGCCTCCCCGGGGGAGCCGGCTCCCGGCGGCGTCTCGGGGTCCCCCTCCCAGGCGCACCCCGCTTCCCTTTTCCTGGTGCTGTTGCCGGTCGTTTCCGTCCCACTTCGGCTGGGGACCGCAGGCCCTGGTGTGCAGCCAGCTGCCGCTCCGTCGCGGGGAGGGAAGGGAGCCGAGCGCCGGGAGGCGTCTCCCCCTCCTCGCGCTGCCCACCCCCCCGCCCGCCCCAGGCCCAGAGCCTCGGCGGGGAGACCGCGAACCTGTTTCCCGGGCCGAGTACCTGCGCCTGCGTCACAGGGAGCCCTTTTCTGCGCCCATGGAAGCTGTGTGCTCCTCGCAGCCCCCGAACCAGCGAGCCACGGTGCCTAGCCTCAGGTGCCCGGCCGGAGAGCGCCGGTTCCAGCCTTGCCGGCCACATGGCCCCGTGGCAGGGGAGATGCCGGGAGCTCCCCCCCAGCCAGCCTCCAGCGCGTGTCCAGAAGCACAAACTGCCCTTCCCAAGCCCGAGTGCAGGCCCGGAATGAAGGGAGTGTCAACCAATCGAGGGGACTGGGGTCAACGTCGCTGTCAGAATTTTTTGTAAATGTTAAACTTTGAGTTTCAATGTGGTACAGGACAATAAAATACCAGCCATGAAAGGAGATGTGAAAAAACACAATTTAGGAATTACGGGGAAACAGTGTAACCTACAGAGGCAACATTTCTATAAGAGGCAGGGAACTGCGTGGATCAAGATTAGAGTCCAGTTTCATTCATCGTTTACCATGTCTTTTACGGCAAATTAGTTTATTGAGCACTAGAGCTGCAAGTACTGACAGTGATCGCCTTGTAGATAGCACTACCTCCTGCGAGCCGCTCCTCTGAGGGTCACTTACAATTCAGCCAGGTGGGTATGTAGCAGAGCCAGCGCTCAACCCCGGGGAGTCTGGCTACAGAACCCATTCTTTTGCCTGCAACACAATACTACTTCTAACATGGTCTTTAAGAATAAGAACAACAACAACAAAAGAATAAGAACAACAGCAGTAAAGTCGTATAACTGAAGGCTTACTTACTAGGTAGTAATTTTTTGTGGTCTATAAGCACCAATTTAATCCTATCCGTGGGGTAAATATGAGCATATTCTAAAATTTAAGAATGTTTGTGGTAATGCACGCCTGTAATCCCAGCACTCAGAAGGCTGAGGCAGGAGGGTTGCTGTGAGTTCAAGGCCAGCCTGAACTACACAGCAAGACCCTGTCTCAAAAAACAAAAAAGCAAAAACACAATGTTTGGGAACCATCACGACAAGTTACTATCATAGCACAACGAGCGTATTACTAAGATTTGGGAAACTGGTCCTGGTCCTCTAAGTGTGCCTGCATTTTCTCCCTCTTGCTGGGCTGTTGAGAGCATTGGTGGGGATACTAGATGTGAAAGAGCTTTAGGAATATAAAACGTCACTTTTATTATTAAGATATTAGGTTATTAAGTTACTGGATATCATTTATTAAATTATTAGGATGAAGGAATTTGTCCTGTTTTACCAACAGGAAGCCTAGTGTTTCTAAGATTTTATTAGGAACATACTAATCCAGATAAAAGACCCATTCCTTTCTGAAGCATGAGCAATAGTGTTATTTTAATAAATATCTGAACTCATTTGGATCATTCTGAGTGAGCCAGAGGGAGTAGGGCGCCCTCTAGTCCACCGGGAAGTGGTAACCGCACCCAGGGTCCATTGCAAAAGCTAACAGTAACTAGTGGAAGATGCAAGCACTGGGAATTCCCAGCTGCCCATCTTGGGCGTTTCACTCATTAACACCTCCGCCAGAGGGAGGGCAGGGAAAGGAGCCAAGCTTAGATTCTGTGGCTGCTTCTTAACAGCTTCACTGAGAGATTTGGTGGAGCAAGGTTTTAAGGTCATCGCAGCTGAAAGGAGATTGGAACCAACTATGGGTTTCGCGGTTGATATCTTGACAGTTTTCTTCATCCCGAATATCATGGGTAAGCAAGAGCTAACAGTAATTCTAGTTTTGTTCACGATGAAAGGCTGATATTTTCCTTCTCAGAGCATAGACAATAAATGCAATTCCTTATCATCTAATTTCTTCTTGGAGTATCCCTTGAAATTAGTCTCAGAAATTACCATAGCTATATTATTAACAACTACCAGACCAACTCGTATGCTATAATTCTTGCACTGCAGGCAAGACATTTTTAAAGGTGGGAATTATATCCTCAAGACATAAGTTTTGGCTTTGTTAATGATATAATAACACTGTTTTGGAGACCCATCACCAAGAAAAAAAATGTCAGTCAGAAATAGAATCACAGTGTCCCAGACTCTGGTCTGAGGTCATTCTGTGATACTCTATGGAAGGTTCTACTCTGAATATAGAAGCTGGCGATTTTAAGAAGCACAAGTGTTTGCCAGTGAATTCCACAAGTGAAATTTGTAATTTGGGATGAAGCATTTGTAAAACTGAGGTATTTAAGACCAATGGCCACTAGAGGAGCGAGCATGTTTTTTTGGCTTTAGGAAAACATGACGGACTTTACTTTTTATCCTTAAATTCCAAAAACGATGCATTACCTACTAATATTTTATTAAAAGCATTTTCATGTTGAACTGAATAGCTCCAGAAATCCTACTGCACTTGCCAGGTATTTCACTGCTGTACTGGAGGTGAGAGTGAGTCCCCATGATAAACGAGTTCCAAGATTCTTCTTCCCTTTCTACCTCTTTTGAGCAAAGAATGTAAATGATTTATTAATCTAATATCTGCATTTGCTAAATATATGATTTACTATGTCTATTCAAAAGATTATACCTTTATTTATTATATACAGTGCCTCAAAAATGCCACACACAATAAATATTTTTAAATAATTTCTTTGCCCTTAGCATCTTATGATCTTTTTTACCTCTGGACTAGAATGATAGTATTTATTTTTGGTTTGATTTGTTTATTTATTGGTACTGTATATTTATTGGTACTTGATCATAAACAATCTTATTACTTAACTGAATATTATCTCCTTTTTTATTTTGAGTATAAATTTCTCTAAGGCAGATTTCTGGGGCTTTTACTTCTTTTCAGATCCCCATAATACCTACCACAGCTTGTACACATAGAAATCAAATTATTTGAGAAATAAGTGATAATTGGGTCACTACAATTATTTATTATTTGCCAGGCTGGGGATTGAACCCAGGGTCTTACATACATTAGGCAAGTGTTGCACCACTGAGCTACATGCCAGCCCCAGTGCCATTTTGAGTGTGTGTATGTGTGTGTGTGTGTGTGTGTGTGTGTGGTATTGAGGATAGAACCCACAGCTTCAAACATACTGCTCAAGCACTGTACCACTGAGCGACATCCCCAGCCTTTTTTATTTTGAAATAGGGTCTCAGGTTGCATAGGCTGACATCAAACTCCACCCTCCTGCCTCTGTCTCCCAGGTAGCTAGGATTACAGGCATGCACTGCTGCATCAGCTCCTCCTCTGTCACTATTACTGATATGGATTTATAGCTCAAGAAATTCCTGGCTGACCAATACTTACCCTGGTTACAGGAGAATAAGTGAATATGCTTGGACAGGAAGTATAAGTTGTAAGAAGTGTCCATGAAGAAAACACTGGGGATGCTCCTCAGTCTGCAGAAATGCCGTGTTTCATCTCCTTGCCTAATATCTGGTGACTGAGCTGGTGTTTTGGCCATGACACTATCCTTAAAATTAATACTACATTTTAAACTTGCATTTTGGCAGTAATTATAAAGTTTTCGCCCATAGTTTATCCATAATCATGTA